CCAATCTTGCCCCGTGCTGAAAGACTGACAGGATGAAAAGCGACACCATACAAAAGCCTCGCTCCTCTCGCTCGGCCGGGTGAAGGATTTCGCCGTCTAATTAGGCTCGCCCTGTTTCCATAGCCACACACGGCCCAGCAGGCCTGCTGCGCGCCAACCACGCGGAGCACCGTGGGTAGTCAAACTCAGACCGGTCGCTGATTAGTGTATTGTTCCCGTGTTTATCATCGGGGATGTTAATTACTTCGACGAATTATCGTTATTAATGAATTTCAATTGGACGTTGTTTCACTCATATTAGGCTTAAATGCGTAAAATCGAAGGTGCAACATTTCGGAAGCCCTTTAGTTCTATCAGTAATTACAGGACTGGTTTATATGCTCACAACAAACACTAATAGGACACTTAATTTTGGTGAACCTAACTGACTTGAAGGATAAAATTACAGGAAGATTTTGTATTTAATTATATGTTTAATTATTGTTAGCCTGCTGTAAATGTGTCCACCATCATCTGTTATCATGGATAAGTCTGCATAATTCAGAAACACACTCAAACGTGATGATGGTTGGACGATAAATGATTTAAAAAAAAGATAAATCCCAGATTACTTTGGAAATAAATTAATTGAATTTCATTATCTGCAATTATAACATAATTTTAACAGCCAGTCCCTGTGTGCTTGCATTATAATAGTGTCAAGCTATATTGTGAACAATCAGCATTTATTTTCTTTGTACAATAGTCATTTTAAAATCACAACAAACAAAGGTTTCTTGTCTTTCTGTTCATTTCTAGCACATTACATGTTTCTGAGGCTGGAGTGGTTGGCAGGAGCAGAGCGTCCTCCACTGGCAATGCTTGAAAACGTTTGGACTGAAAGAGAAACCGGCTGTTAGTTCAATCGTTTTATAGATCAATAACAGGTAATTATGCGTTATATAATGCAGACTGTAGCTCATGTAAGCTTATGTCTCTCACAGGTGCATATATATTGAGAACACTGTCAACACAGACTGTTATTGACAAAACCAGTAGCTTTAAATAAGACCATCTGTCAAAAATAAATCTATTTTATTAGGACTTTGAAAGAATAAACATTCGATCATAATTTGAAAATAGCCTATCATACAGTGTCTGTGTCAATTAAAAGATCGAGAACAACCTGTTTCAGCACAGATACTTTTTTTTTTTTGTAATATTCCTCCAGCTGGATTTCATTTTCCATATTGGTCTTTAAAAACACCTGCGTGTTTTGACCCTTGATCAGTATAATAAAGCATATTCCTCTTCTGATATTCAATCTTCTAAAGTCTGCTTATGCAGATAGTGGCTTTCAAATCAAGATGGCTTTCAACTTGATCCATCCTCTCTTTTGAAAGTCTGTTATCCGCTAATATAATTTATTGCAATGCATGCATGTCTTTCTTCAGAGGACTCTTTAGAGACACACCAAGTGAAGATGTATTCAATGTGGACAAAATAAGGTCTTTGATAAAGCAGTTTAAAGGCGATAAACTGGCCTCTGGTTTAAAAAAAATAAATATTTGCATAAATAAATATTGCCTGTTCATTTATTTGACAGTTCTTTAGATGACCAAGTCCAATTTTAACTGCTGTATTCAATGATTGTCTCCGGAATGACAGACTGGGTTTAAAATATGAAATTTAGATGTAGGCCAGCAGTGGATTTGTTTATGTGCAATATAATAATAATAATAATAATGATAAAAGAATTTATAGCACCTTCAGCATTATGAACTGTTTCTATAGATTGCAGCGTTTTGGTTCATGCCATGATTTATCTTGTCTGCTTTAAGAGTATAACAAGTATCAGTGAGCTTGATCAGCATCTCCAGCAGCGCACTTCAAAACTAACGAGAAATCTAGGAACTGAAATGAAATTTCAGAGCAATTTGTTCTTTTATAATAAGAGGTTAAGAGGGGACAGTTTGACGGCTCACTTGCCCTTTCTCTCATTTTTTCTCGCTCCTTCGCTTTGCTCTCTGTCGCATTTATTGCTCAAGGTCAGTGCTGGAGGCAACTGTGAGGTTACCACTGTGACGGCAAGGTCAGAATCTTCACTGTCGTTTGACATGCTTTCTGCCACAGAAATGTAGAGGTGAAGAGGCATGGGGCGAGTGGAATGGGCCTGATGCATGTAACCTGACATTTTTAAATAGATAGGAAGAATACTTTCACAGTCCTTGACTTTCTTTGCATTCAAAGCATTCTTAACCAATGGCCTTATTCTGTACCATATGCTATATACATAGATTATATGAGGGTGGTGTTATCCACAGAAGGGGAATTGTAAATCAGCTGAGAAAGAGCTTTGTTTAAAATCCATTCACCAATAAAATGGATGAAAGGTTTTGCAAATTTACCAAATTTACATTTACCAAAATTCCCTTCCAGGAGCCACGGTGGTCCCCACTCAAATCAAACAGAAGTATCATCACATTCCAACTTAAATCCAGTAAGAGGTCTTCAGCAGCACCTCGGTGTGTTATGCACCGGTGAAAGACATTTTAAATCAATAATGAACCAAACCATCTAGCACTGCCAGAGAGAGCGCAAAAAGTTAAATGACTCATAAATAATCTTAGCAAATAACAGCAATTTCGATCTAATAGAGCGATTTCACAGGTCCATGAGCATGGCCACACACACACACACATTTACACACATCTAAGAACACATAAATGTACACTCCATTAAACATTTTAAATAAAGACTTAGTCAGAGGATTACAACTTCAAGACACCTCCAGCAGTGTCTGTGGGCCACAGTCTTTATTTATCCTGATTCCTTTTAATTTATTGAAATGGTCAGTTATGATATTTTGACACTTACCTGTTGAGTGTTGAGCATGATATATGATTACATTATTATTATAACCTGGTTTTCAGCAACACTTAAGCAATATCACATTTTCTCTCACAAGAGAAGAAATTGTTGAATAAAGTCATTATTATTTTTGAATAATAATTGTTGAATAAAGTCATTGTTGAATAAAAAGTATTCTCGTAGCTTCGTAGCTATTACGGTTGAACCAGTGATGTCACATGGACTATTTTAACGATGTCTTTGCTACCTTTCTGGGCCTGGGAACGTTTCAGTTGCATTGCTGTCTATGCAGGGTCAGAAAGCGCACGGATTTCATCAGAAATATCTTAATTTGGGGTCTGAAGGTCTTATTTGTTTGAAAAGACCTGAGGTTGAGTAATTAATGACAAAAGTTTCATTTTTGGGTGAACTATCCATTTAAAGGAGGTATTGGGTACTCCAAATCCTGTAAAGATACACCTATATATTTATCCAAATCCACAATTAAGTCATTGCATCCTACACACTTTACTATGAGGTATGTGAGATTATAACGAGTTTTCAATATAATCTCCCTATGTCAAAATTTATGAATGAATATAATGGTTTTTATTATTTGATTTGAATAAAATCTCTTGGATTTATT